CCCATTCTTCAGGCTGCTCCCGTACCTAGCACAGCCAAGCCAGCTGACCACAGCCAGCCCCAGCCCTGCCCCTAGCCGGTGCTCATCACAGACAAGCCTGGCTTTATTTTCAACATTACAGCATCCATCGTCCTGAGCAAAGTGATCTGAGGCCACAGTCCCACAGGCCTCCCACTGCCTTCAAATGCATCCTTTTAAGCGTAACATACCTCTCCCTCCCTCCTCTCTTCTCGCTTCCCTAAGGGGTCTCAATCCCCACCTGCTGCCCCTGCTTTTCTCACCTGGCTCAGCAAACTGCGGGGACGCGGGCCTCTGATAACTTCTTCCCATGTTCTGCTGAAACCCATCAGCCAGAGCTCACGTTGTTGGCCTCACCCCTAGACAAGCTGCAGTTACTCTCCTGTTTTTCGGGGTGTGGAATTCAGAGTTCTGAGGTCATTCGCAGGAGCCTGGATGGTGGGAGGGATGGGGGGCACCAGGAGACACTAGGAACAGAGCTAGGGAAGCAGAAGGAATTTAAGTGAACTTGGATCCTTGCAAGATGGTTTGTTAATTGTCACTCAGTAGCAGATAGAAGGAAGCAGGAAGCACCTGACTGCTGTGAGTTTTGTGGAAAGCGACTGAAATGGGGGCTTTGAATTGGCAGAACTTCCCTCCTGGGCTTCGCTCCTGGCGGGGTTTCTGTTTCTGGGCAACGCTACCCAAAGTCCCTTCCAGTTAGCATCCAGCTCGTGCACTTTTTAAAAGCAGAGGATGCTACTCTGGTGGTTTCACATTTTTCTCACAGGGACGGGCCCAGCCCACACTGTTTCCTGCTTCATCACACAGCTTGTCCTCTGCCCAGGTTTTCTTTTGGCGCTGGGCCGCACCCCTAATCCATAAACACCCCCGGGCAGGAGCCTCTGTCATCATAGAATCACCACCGTATCCCCAGCAGCCGCTATGCCTGCCCCCTTGCTGGCGCTCACGGTATCTTTTTGGAAGGAATGATGTCCCACATCCACTGCATGGTTAGTGTCAATAGCTGTGGTCTGCACTTCTCGTGGGGTTTTGTGCTCCCTGTACGCTCCAGTAACTCGAGTTCTTCCGTATCCCTCTCTGGGTTCTTTCATGAGCCCCTTAACTTCAATAGGTGTGTCTTGGTTGGTTTGTGGTTGTATCTTAACATCCTGACAGTCCTTATGAAACCAAGGGAGAGAGGCAGGTTCTTCATTCCAATGTGGGTTCCACATGCAACAATTCAAGTGTGTGCCGGGCAGAAGGGTGGCCTCTCTTTGGGGGCAGGAGAGGACGTGAGGATAAGGTGCAGGCGGTTCCTTTGCCCTGCTTGGGTGGGGATGTAAATTGAGTGGGGCGGGGTCTCAGAATCACCAGGGCAGAGCAAACAGCAATGGCTGTTGTCAGCCGTCTCTGCGACTCCTCGCGTCCCCGCGTCTCCACGTCCCCGAGTCCCGTGCTCCCATAGTAACAATGATCCCTGCGAGCAGCTCTGCAAGAAAGCCACCCTCGCTTTCCGACCAGCTGCAAGACAGTCCAGTTTCTCCCCGTAGGAGTCTGGGTCCCCAGAGTCTCCGAGTTCAGTGCATTCGGGAGCTTGTATCCCCTTCCGATTGAAAAAAACCGTGCACCCAGATGCAGCCCGCCTCACACGCGCCTCCGTACCTCTGTTCTTGGCGCCTCTGCACCTCCTACCCAGTCTCAATGTGCTTTTTTCTTTCCTTCTAGTTGTAGAACTTCCACTCGGCCAGCTTTCCCGTGGTTCTGGATGATAGCTGTTTTGTCTTTTAGTTGTAGTTTTAATGTGATAGCTGTTGTCTTTTAGTTGTAATTTTAATGTGGTTGTGGGGGGCAGCACGTATAGGTTTATACCTTATGCCGCCATCTTGGTTCTCGACTCTCTGTACTCTTAAGTGTTGTACCACTTCATGTAACTTGAGCAAATTCCTTAGCCTCTCTGAACCTGTTTCTTCATTTAGACACAAGAATAATGAACTTCCTTCATGGGTGATGTGACTACTGAACTGTACACACGTGAAAGCACACGCACTACCAAGGGCCGAACAAGCTGCGCTGTGAACCATCGTCACTAACAGCAGTGCTGTGGTTGCTGTTACTACTTCATGTGGTGAATGTTTTTATTCAAACAACACACCCCACTCGGGGTGTGGCCAAATGTGTTTGCCTCCGGAGGCCACCGGGGAGCCATACTGAGCTTCCCCACTAGCTTGAGGTCATGTTCCACCTGCTCCTGATCTCCCCGCTCCATCATGACCCTTTATGCCTCAGCAAGGCACCCCTTAGCTGCCTGGCCTTGTCCAGGCCTTTGCCCATTCTTCAGGCTGCTCCTGTACCCAGCACAGCCAAGCCAGCTGACCCCAGCCAGCCCCAGCCCTGCCCCTAGCCGGTGCTCATCACAGACAAGCCTGGCTTTATTTTCAACATTACAGCATCCATCGTCCTGAGCAAAGTGATCTGAGGCCACAGTCCCACAGGCCTCCCACTGCCTTCAAATGCATCCTTTTAAGCGTAACATACCTCTCCCTCCCTCCTCTCTTCTCGCTTCCCTAAGGGGTCTCAATCCCCACCTGCTGCCCCTGCTTTTCTCACCTGGCTCAGCAAACTGCGGGGACGCGGGCCTCTGATAACTTCTTCCCATGTTCTGCTGAAACCCATCAGCCAGAGCTCATGTTGTTGGCCTCACCCCTAGACAAGCTGCAGTTACTCTCCTGTTTTTCGGGGTGTGGAATTCAGAGTTCTGAGGTCATTCGCAGGAGCCTGGATGGTGGGAGGGATGGGGGGCACCAGGAGACACTAGGAACAGAGCTAGGGAAGCAGAAGGAATTTAAGTGAACTTGGATCCTTGCAAGATGGTTTGTTAATTGTCACTCAGTAGCAGATAGAAGGAAGCAGGAAGCACCTGACTGCTGTGAGTTTTGTGGAAAGCGACTGAAATGGGGGCTTTGAATTGGCAGAACTTCCCTCCTGGGCTTCGCTCCTGGCGGGGTTTCTGTTTCTGGGCAACGCTACCCAAAGTCCCTTCCAGTTAGCATCCGGCTCGTGCACTTTTTAAAAACAGAGGATGCTACTCTGGTGGTTTCACATTTTTCTCACAGGGATGGGCCCAGCCCACACTGTTTCCTGCTTCATCACACAGCTTGTCCTCTGCCCAGGTTTTCTGTTGGCGCTGGGCCGCACCCCTAATCCATAAACACCCCCGGGCAGGAGCCTCTGTCATCATAGAATCACCACTGTATCCCCAGCAGCCGCTATGCCTGCCCCCTTGCTGGCGCTCACGGTATCTTTTTGGAAGGAATGATGTCCCACATCCACTGCATGGTTAGTGTTAATAGCTGTGGTCTGCACTTCTCGTGGGGTTTTGTGCTCCCTGTACGCTCCAGTAACTCGAGTTCTTCCGTATCCCTCTCTGGGTTCTTTCATGAGCCCCTTAACTTCAATAGGTGTGTCTTGGTTGGTTTGTGGTTATATCTTAACATCCTGACAGTCCTTATGAAACCAAGGGAGAGAGGCAGGCTCTTCATTCCAATGTGGGTTCCACATGCAACAATTCAAGTGTGTGCCGGGCAGAAGGGTGGCCTCTCTTTGGGGGCAGGAGAGGACGTGAGGATAAGGTGGTCACCAATAATGTTAGCCAAGAGCTCGAAAATGGGGGAGAGAGGTCCCAGCCGTGTTCCACATCCAGCCACAGCAGGAGGCACTATGGCTTTTCCTTTTCAAAAACAGCAGAGCGTAGACCGGGTGGAGTCGGAAGACTTAAGTGAGACCAGAGTGCATTGTACTTTGGCCGCAGGATTTGACAGGAGTCAGGTAACCAAACAAGGCCAGGGGATGGCACAGGCTCTTGAGCGCAGGTAGGGAAACCAGGGCTTGGCTGGCCACTTAGCTGAAGAGGATGAGGACACGACAGGGAGCCAAGGGGAGCCACTGTGACAGGAGCCACATGGTGGCTGGGACTGAACTTTCAGCTGCATCCCATTGAGTCCCCCACACTGAGGACCCAGCGTCTCCCATTTCCTCGTTTTTGCACGCTTTGTGCCTCTTGCCTAGAATGTCATTTGTCACCTTATTCCCCATATGACTGACTAGTCCTCACTCACCAAGATTTATCCACGAGAATTATGTCAAGTAGATAATTCCCAACTTTAGATTTAAAAAGCATAAAACAGTGTGAAAAAGCAAAAATATTTCAGCACTTTGGTTATGAGAAATATCTATGGAAATAGAAAGAAAATCTCCAAAATGAAAATAGCAGTGGAGTAAGAACAGGTCCCAGAGTCCAGCGCAGTGGGGGTGGCTTTGGGGTCAGACAGGTCCAGGTGAGTCTGGAAACACCTGTGAGCTGGGTTTTCTTGTGCAAACGGCACTGCCTCCTGGCCTCTGGAAGTGACCCGGCCTCCAGGCTGATTGAGAGGATAAAAGAAACACAGCCCTAGGGTCAGGCTACACGATCTGTCTTCAGAAGAAGTTTCATCTAAAATCACTTTGGATTATGATGACAAGACACTTAAAAACAATTAGAGGTTCTGATCTGAATTTCCAGGCCCTGGGAGCAAACAGCTCGCTAGAGTACAGTCATAGCTGTGATCATGTTGGCTGCTGTAAGGGTGGGTATGTGTTCAAAAAGCGTTTGGACTTTATAACTTAGAGTAATAACAACATGACATTCCTTGCATTTTTTTAAATCTTTGCTGGTTTTCCATTTATATAAGGTTTCCACTGAGTGAACAATGAATAGAAAATACATGCTTTTGTTGAGAAAAGGCTCAAGGGCACAATACAGCCAGGACAGCTAGAGCCTGCCTTAGGTGGTGCAGTATTAACTCATGTTATTTAACGTGCCCATTTCAATGGGTTATGTGTGGTTTTAGTATGAGTGTTAATTTAGGGACTAAGGAATCATGAACAACTTTCCAATTCTATTTCTGACTTAGGAGAATTTTGTTCTCCGGGCTCATAAAGTCATATACAAAAACACACACACATAAGGTTCTTAGATCTTTATTTTAGAAAATGTGGTATATACTCTCTCCCCTCCCGCTGCCCTCATCTGACCTGGAGGAGTTGTTCCTACACATTTTCTGTGGAATGCCATCAACCATGATCCGTTTCGCCACAATTTATTCCATCATTCCCACTGGTGGTCATTTACACTGTTTCCTTATGTACTTACCAAAATACACAGTATATATTGATAAACATAATCTCATGTACTGGCACGTTAGTTTTTTCTCAGGGATAGGTTCCCAAACATGAGAGTGCTGCGTGGAAGAATATGTATATTCTTAAAGTTAAAAGACAGGGTCACAGTGATTCCCAAGGCCCTCACAGTTTACTCTAACAGCAGAGAATGAAATTAACCTCCTCTGCTTCCCGGCTGTTAGTAGATCAGATGACAACTTAAAGACTTATTGGACTATGGATGTTTTAGTAAATTTGTTCAGAGTCGCTCACATTCATATACTAGTATAGTAACAGCACATCAATGGTCTTCAAAAAATTTTAAAAGCCAGTTTCGGTTGCCATTTACAATTCTAATGACATGATTTGTGATGGAGGAAAAGGGAGAACTTGTGAATCTGAAATCAAGCCTAAGATGATATCACTCTGAGTTATACAACAGATGGAGAGATCACTGAACAGTGTAATTTATAAAACTGTTAGTGTAAGTTAAGCCTTTCCATGAAAGGTTCACCAAGTCAGATTCCAAAGGGAAATGTTTCAGGCTGATGATAGTGAAACTCAAGGAAGTAGAAGTGCGTCCCCTAAACAGAATGTGCAAAAGTGTCTCTCTAAAGTGGACGATGCACATAGAAATTTTAAAAAGCAACAAGGCATGTGACAGTTTTCTTAAAATAAGCTTCCCTTTAAAGTCTCTGGAAGGTAACTAACATTTGTGCACTGCATACACATCCTACCATTTTTTACAAGACAATTCATAAAATAAGAGAAACGGGGAAACACAAATACAAGTGGTTTCTGGGGTACACATTTTGGTAAATGACATGCATTTGTGTGTAAACAGCCAGCAGAAAACGCCAACATGATGGATGTGGATATTCTCTGTAGCCCATTTTTACCTGTGGTGCATCCTGAGTAACAGCCCACAGCCGCCTCCTCTCACTCTTAACCTCCTCTTAATTATCTCATATTTGCATAATCATGTAAGTGATGCTTGTAGAAGTGCTTCAGCAAGCCAGGAAGCAGGTTAGAACTTCACCATTGTCTCTGTTTATTAAGAGGCAGCTCATTAACAATGGCCACACCAACTTCTATATGCCAGCAAGCAGGAGAAAATGTATTACATGCTACTTTAAAATCTGTTCCATATTTCATCTGGAATGCATACTGAGTTGTAAAAAAACACATGTGATATTTAATATGGAAAATCTTGTTTGATGTGTCCTAATTATTAGAGGAATTTCAAACTCCCAATGACCGTTAAATTCACACGGGCAGATCTAAAATATACTTTTGTGGTTTTGTGGCATAATTGCACACAACCACTCTATCCCTGGGCACTGTCTGTACATCCTTTCTGCTGCTTCCCAGACGATTTCATCCATAAATTCATTCAAGGTTTAAATAATTCATTCAAGGTTTTAAAAAGCTCATTGTAATAGTTAAGCATGTCTATTTACAGTTGGATATTCTTGGTATGTGTTCTTCAGTTGGGTATCACATCTAACTTTCAGTACCGCTGTCCGTAGGGAACCCTATTTTGGCGTTTTTGAGCTGATGAATGGTATCTTAGTATGATTTCCCATGCTCCCTCAGGACCTCAGGCGGTTTCTCCCCGACTGGAAGGGTTCTGGTGGGAGGGTGTTGCACAGTCCGACCTGCTGCAGGTCAGGGTTTGTCACCGATATGAACTCTGAGATGGACACTGAGTCGGGACTTCCTGCTGAAGGCCTTCCCACACTGAGAACACTCGTATGGCTTCTCCCCCGTATGGATTCGCAGGTGGAGCCTAAGAGTTGACCGCTGGCTGAATGTTTTGCCACATTCTGTACACTCGTAGGGCTTCTCCCCTGTATGAGTTCTCATATGTATAATGAGTTGTGAGTTCTGGATGAAGGATTTCCCACATTCACTGCACTCATAGCGTTTCTCTCCCGTGTGAATTTTCTGATGTATGATGAGGTTTGATTTCTTGAAAAAGGTTTTTGCACATTCATTACACTCATATGGTCGCTCCCCTGTGTGAATTCTCTGGTGTGTAGTGAGTTCGAACTTCTGGGCAAATGTCTTGCCACACTCACTGCACTCATAGGGCTTCTTCTCCATGTGTGCTCTCTGGTGTACAATGAGGTTTGACTGATGGGTGAAGGCTTTCCCACATTCAAGACATTCAAAGGGTTTCTCCCCAGTATGAATTCTCTGATGCTTAATGAGGTTTGCCTTATGGGAGAAGGTTTTCTTACAGACATTACACTCATACGGCTTTTCTCCAGTATGTATTCTCTTATGACTAATGAGGAGTGACTTAAAGGAAAAAGCCTTGTCACAGTAATTACAAAGGAAGGGCTGCACCAAATTTCTAATTTTCTGATGTTTAAAAATAGCTTCTTTATGGCTGAAGGCTTTCCCAATTTTGTTATATTCCGCGTATTCCATTTCAGGATGGGTTTTCTCTTGCTTTAGATAGAGAAGTGCTTTTCCAAATCCGTTATACTCATCAGCTTGCTTCCTTATATAGCTGTCACTGTTAAGTAAGTCTGAACTGTATTTCAAAGTTTTTTCATACAAGTCATATTTATAGGGCACTTGTCTTAAAGAAACAAAGTCTGTGCTCAGATTGAATGATTTTTCAAAGAGATCACTTCTTTCCTCAATTGGGGTTTGGTTCTTGCAGATTATGAATGGCCTTGCCTGCTCCTCGGGGTCACTGTGCTCCCGCTGCACCTGGTCGTCAGCCTTCCACACCTCTAGAAAGAGCACAGGAAGGACACTCCGTCAGGCCTCTTGCTGTCATGTTACAGAAGGTCCCCCAAATGTCCCATCCTAGAGCTGCCTTTTTAGTTTGGGACCCGGTCTTCCAGAATTAAGTAGTCCCCAGTGCAAATCTGTCCTCCCTCTTAAACTCTGAAAGGACAAGGGGAAAAAAGAGCCTGTGGCAAAAAAAAAGTGGGAACTGACAGTGAACACAAGTAGCATTGCCAGATCACACAGCGACCCCACAGAGGGGTAAAGAGAAATAAAAACACAGCAACAGGAAACACATGTGGGAAGGCTGGCACTGCAGGGATGAAGGGGACCTTGTCCTCAGGGACACTGCACAGCTAGCACAGAGGCAAGCAAGTAGATGAAGATGGTAAAGGAAAGGACACAGGCAGACCTGAGTTTAGCAACCCACACTCTGACGCTGCGTCACTGTGGCGGGACCAGGACCTCGCCTACATGTGTCCAGGCTCTCTCCCCGCCTTCTCCCTTCCCACGGGCAGCATTATTGTTTTGCAGAAACAATCCTACTGAGGAGCTCCCGTCTCTAAGGCAACGATGCCCACACTGAGCTGCAGCACACGGATGTGCCACAAGAACTTTAAAACATGCAAACTGCCTAGTCAGGGGCACTGACCACTTTTCCCTTAGATTGTCAACTTTAAAAATGACAACAGCCAACACAACAATAGCTGTCTGGTGTGAATGAATCAAAATTATACCCCCCTTTTCTTGTCAGTTTGGCAAAAAGTATTTTTGGTGTGCTGCAGAATTTTCTAAATTAATTTATGTGCCATGAGATGAAAAGGTTGAAAATCGCTGCTTTAAAGTAAGACTTTGCAAGTGAATGAAAAGGTTCAGAAACTCATATTTTGTAGGAAACATAAAATTGATCCAAGGACCCAAGATCCCTTTGATAGATTCAATGCTACTACTGCTTTCATCGCATTTTTCTTTTTTAAAATTTAATTTAATCCTCACCCGAGGATATGTTTTCCATTAATTTTTAGGGAGGGTGGAATGAAGAGGGAGAGACAGAGAGAAACACTGATGTGAAAGAGACGTATTGATTGGTTGCGTCCTACATGCCCCCAACCAGGGCCAGGAGCCTGCGACCAGAATCAAACCTGGGACCCTTCAGGCCACAGGCTGACGCTCTATGCACTGAGCCAAACCAGCTAGGACTCATTGCTTTTTTTCTATTGAAGCTGTTGGAGAATGTATTTTCATTATTATATCTTATTTTTCTCTCTCCTTTTAATAGGCTTAATTTCTTCCCCAAACTAGTCTTGTCCCTACTTTTATTTGACAGGATCTTAAGGATCAGATTACCCAGCCTCCACCTAGGTCTTGCATAACCTTCACTTTCCTCTGTGCATTACTGGTCATTCCTGGCGCTTGTGCTGCGGCTGCCATCTGTGTCCAGGACAAGGATGTCACTTCTGCACTGAAAAATCTATTTCCCCTGAGGCCACTATGCCAATGGCCCTGAGCTAAAATATACAACACTCAGACATCTGGGGCAGATAGGTCATCTGTTTGCAGCCATCTCTAAGGGTTTAGGGATTTTGGGGGAAAAAAGACTTAACAATATTTCAAACGTACCAACTCATTCATAATCCTTGGGATATTACTTCTAGTGGCTTCTGATTCTCCTTCCCTCCTTCCACAGCTTCGCTAGAGAGTTCTCAACTGCAGTTCTAACTTTGCTAGCCACAGCTCCGCCTGCTCCACCTTGAAAATCACATCTGGTTTGATCGCAGCTCCTAACTGCTTGGACTTTAGAACTTCAGTAGTCACTCTCAGCTGTAACATGTGAAGCTTGAGGCCAAACCACTTAGTGATTTAGAAGCTCATACTTCTGGTAACTGAGAAAGAACATAAGCGCCCCTAGGTAAACAGTGACGCCTGGAAGCTGTCCTTACCCACTGACAGTAGGTTGCTGTAGTTCTCCAGCATCACATCCATGTACAGGATCCTCTGCGATGGGTCCAGCTGCTCCCACTCCTCCTGGGTGAAGTCCACAGTCACATCCGTGAATGAGACTGACCCCTGAAATGGCATATTGCTATTCATTCTGGAATGGCGAGCATTTGGTGATACAGAAAGGACATGTGGAAAGTTATTCTTACCACACTGCTGTAAGGGTCATTCGCCAGGGAAATTTACACGACACCAACCCAGCATCTTCACTACCTTTTGTGAGAAAGTGTGTTTATAGAGGTTCGAGCACTCAGTCCCCTATCTCTGGCACTGTCGCAGGCACAGGCACCTACGATGATGAAACCCCTGGCATTCTCTAACCATCAGTGCGCAGCAGTGACGGGCACCAGTGCGGGGTGGTGCTCACACAGGCACTGTTCTTATGGTATCACACTAGACAATATTAAAGAGTAGATTAGACTTTCTGTGATACTATCTATAAGAAATACATCTGGTCTTTGTCCACAGTTCCTGGCTCACAGCTCTCCAAGCCCCTAGATCAGTGATGGTGAATCTTTTGAACTTGGCGTGTCAGCATTTTGAAAAACCCTAACTTAACTCTGGTGCCGTGTCACATATAGAAATTTTTTGATATTTGCAACCATAGTAAAACAAAGATTTATATTTTTGATGTTTATTTTATATATTTAAATGCCATTTAACAAAGAAAAATCAACAAAAAAAATGAGTTTGCGTGTCACCTCTGACACGCGTGTCATAGGTTCGCCATCACTGCCCTAGATTAACCTAAGAATTGAGACTGATAAAGGTTTGGTATATTAGTGAGGTGACTTCCGGAAATGGCTTAAGGACAGGGGCTGGTCACCATCAGACCTGACCATGTGATTAGAGGGTGGAACTTCCAGCCCACGCTGACCTCTGGTGGAGGAGAGGGTTTGGAGGGTGCCAAACGCCATGGTAAATGAGGTTACCAATCACCATTATGTAATAACAGCTGCATAGAAACCCAAAGGACGGGGTTCGAAGAAACACCTAGGCTACAGCACACAGATTCGAGAGTGGCACCTGGGAGAACAACAGGAGGCTCCGGCAAGTACCCTCACTCGTCCCTCCTCCCGCTCCTCACTCTCGTTCCTTCTTTATCCCTCCTCCCTCGCGCCCTCTAACTCCTCTCTACTGTTTACGGTACAGTCTCACTCTCCTCTATCCCTCTGTCTAGCCTCCTCTCTGTCCTTAATTTCCCCAATCTGCTCTCTACCACTGTTCTCAACATCTCCCCATACACCACCCTTTCTCTCTCTACAATCCCTCAAACTCCACCAGCTTTTCTTCATCCTCCCTCTCTACTCAGTCCTCCCTGTCGATCTCTCTTTTCACCTTCTTTACTCTCTTCAGTCTCTCTCTCTCTGTCATCTCTCTCTACACCTCTCTCTCATGACTCTTTCTAGCCTCTCCTCTTCTCTCTCTAGTCCCTCCTCCTTCTCTCTCTAGTATCTCCTTCCTCTCTCTCTAGCCTCTCCTCCTCTGTCTTTATAGTCTCTCCTTCCTCTCTATAGTCCAGTAATGGCGAACCCATGACATTTTTTTGGTTGATTTTTCTGTTAAATGGCATTCAAATATATAAAATAAACATGAAAAATACAAGTCTTTGTTTTACTATGGTTGCAAATATCAAAAAATTTCTATATGTGACACAGCACAAGAGTTAAGTTAGGGTTTTTCAAAATGCTGACACACCGAGCTCAAATGGTTCGCCATCACTGTTCTAGTCTCTCCTCCTCTGTCTCTCTAATCGCTCGTTTCTCTCTCTCTAGTGTCTCCTCCTCTGCCTCTAGTCTCTCCTCCTATCTCTTTAGTCTCTCCTTTCTCTTCAACTAGTGTCTCCTCCTCTGTCTCCAGTCTCTCCTTCCTCTCTCTAGTCTCTCCTCATCTCTCTCTAGTCTCTTCTCCTGCCTCTCTAGTCTCTCCTTCTTCTCTCTCTAGTATCTCCTTCCTCTCTCTCTAGTCTCTTCTCCTCGCTCTCTAGCCTCTCCTCCGCTCTCAAGCGTCTCCTCCAACTTTCTCTAGTCTATCCTTCCTCTCTCTATCTAGTCTCTCCTCATCTGTCTCTCTTCCTCTGTCTCTCTAGTCTCTCCTCCTCTCTCTAGGCTCTCCTCCTGTCTCTTCCTCTATCTCTCTAGCCTCTCCTCCTCTCTCTATAGTCTCTCCTCCTCTGTAGTCTCTCCTCCTCTCTTCTTCTATCTCTCTAGTCTTTACTACTCTCTCTCTAGTCTCTCATTCCTCTCCCAAGCATCTCATCCTCATCTCTCCAGTATCTCCTTCTTCGCTCTCTATAGCCTCTCCTTCCTCTCTAGTCTCTCCTTCTCTCTCTAGTCACTCCTCCTCTGTCTCTCTTCTTCTCTCTAGTCTCTCCTCGTCCTCTCTCTCTAGTCTCTTCTCCTGTCTCTCTAGTCTCTCCTTCCGCTCTCTCTCGAGCCTCTTCTCTCTCTAGTCGATCCTTCCTCTCTATCTCTCCTCTCTCCTTCCTCTGACTCTCTAGTACCTCCTCCTCCCTCTCTCTTCTTCTATCTCTCTAGTATCACCTTCCTCTCTTTCTCTAGTCACTCCTCCTCTGTCTCTCTTCTTCTCTCTCTAGCCTCTCCTCCTCTCTCTGTAGTCTCTCCTTCCTCTCTCCGTAGCTTCTCCTTCCTCTCTCTACTCTCTCCTTCCTCTCTCTAGCCTCTCCTCCTCCTCTCTCTCTAGTCTCTACTCCTGTCTCTCTAGCCTCTCCTCCTCTCTCTCTCGTCTCTCCTTCCTCTCTCTAGCCTCTCCTGTCTCTCTCTAGCCTCTCCTCCTCTCTCGAGTCTCTCTTTCCCCTCTATCTCTCTCTAGCCTCTCCTTCGTCTCTCTAGTCTCTCCTTCCTCTCTCTAGTCACTCCTTCCTCTCTCTCTCTCTCCCCCTCTCTCTCTCTAGCCTCTCCTTTGTCTCTCTAGTCTCTCCTTCCTCTCTCTAGTCTCTCCTTCCTCTCTCTAGTCACTCCTTCCTCTCTCTCTCTCTCTAGCTTCTCCTTCCTCTCTCTAGTCTTTCCTCCTCCTCTCTCTAGTCTCTCCTTCTGTCTCTCTTCTTCTATCTCTCTAGTCTCTTCTCCTCTCTCACTCTAGTCTCTCCTTCCTCTCTAGCCTCTCCTCCTCCTCTCTCTAGTATCTCCTTCCTCGCTCTCTCTAGCCTCTCCCTCCTCTCTAGTCACTCCTCCTCTCTCTCTCTGTCTCTCCTCCGTCTCTCTCCTTCTCTGTAGTCTATCCTCCTCTCTGTCTCTAGTCTCTCCTCTCTCTCTAGTCTCTCCTTCCTCTCTGTAGCCTCTCCTCCCCTCTCATGCCTCTCCTCCTCCTCTCTCTAGTATCTCCTTCCTCGCTCTCTCCAGCATCTCCTTCCTCTCTCTAGTCTCTCCTCCTCTGTCTCTCTTCTTCTCTCTAGTCTCACCTTCCTCTCTCTCTCTCGCCTCATCTCCTCTCTCTAGTCTCTTCTCCTCTTGTCTCAGGTCTCTCCTTCTCTCTACTCTCTCCTTCTCTCTAGTCTCTCCTCTTCTCTCTCTTGTCTCTCCTCCTCTGTCTCTCTTCTATCTCTCTAGTCTCTACTCTCTCTCTCTAGTCTCTCCTTCCTCTCTCTCTATTCTCTCTTTCCACTCTCTAGTCTTTCCTCCTCCTCTCTCTAGCCTGTCCTCCTCTCTCTCTCTAGTCTCTCCTCCTCTCTCTAGTCTCTCCTTCCTCTCTCTCTATTCTCTCTTTCCACTCTCTAGTCTTTCCTCCTCCTCTCTCTAGCCTGTCCTCCTCTCTCTCTCTAGTCTCTCCTCCTCTCTCTCTCTCGAGTCTCTCCTCCTCTGCTTCTCTTCTATCTCTCTAGTCTCTACTGCTATCTCTCTATAGTCTCTAGTTCGTCTCTCTATTCTCTCCTCTTCTTTCTGTCTACTGTCTCCTTCTCTCTCTCTAGTCTCTCCTCCTCTCTCTCTCTCGAGTCTCTCCTCCTCTGCTTCTCTTCTATCTCTCTAGTCTCTACTGCTATCTCTCTATAGTCTCTAGTTCGTCTCTCTATTCTCTCCTCTTCTTTCTGTCTACTGTCTCCTTCTCTCTCTCTAGTCTCTCCCCCTCTGTCTCTGTCTCTTCTCATCTCTCTCTAGTCTCTCCTCCTCTGTCTCTCTAGTCTCTCCTTCCTCTCTCTCTAGTCTCTCCTCTCACTCAGGCCTCTCCGTCTTCGCTCTCTCTCTCTCTAGTATGTCCTCTCTCTCTACCCTCTCCTTCTTCTCTCTCTCTCTCTAGTCTCTCCTCTCTCTCTAGTCTCTCCTTCCTCTCTAAGCTCTCCTCCTCCTCTCTCTCTAGCCTCTCCTTCCTCTCTTTAGTCTCTCCTCCTGTCTCTCTAGCTTCTCCTTCCTCTCTATCTCTAGCCTCTCTTCCTCTCTCTCTCTAGTCTCCCCTTCCTCTCTCTCTCTAGCCTCTCCTCCTTTCTCTCTATTCTCTTCCCCTCCTCTCTCTAGTCTGTCCTCCTGTCTCTCTTCTTTTATCTCTCTGGTCTCACCTTCCTATCTCTCTCTCTAGTCTCTCCTTCCTCTCT